ACCAACAGGAACCAGGCAAAGACTAACAACAATTGGCACCGGGAAAAGTTTAAATTGTATCACTTTTTTTTCATTTCATGTCTTAATTTTTATAAAAAAATATACACCTTTTTTGTACAAATCTACAAATTTAAAAACTAAACTTCAAGAAAGACACAGAGAGGGATCTGATTCACTACTCCAAGTTGAAACATTACACACAAAAATAGGAGTCATGCGCAGATCATAGTTGCACATAGGTGAAGAGTCCTTCAAATATTTTATTAGAGTTGGAATATTTGGTTGCTGCATATATATTTCATACATATCCAAAACACAAGCAATTTATGTGCCTAAACAACTTGTTCCAAAAAATCCTTCGGCAGATAATGTTCCTGCAATATGTTTTAAGTGTCAATCATATAAGGAATCTCTGCCTTATTATTCTTGAGTTTGTAGGTTTTGATGCTTTCTTTTCCCAGCTAAGAAAATCAGTTATCGTGTTGATTTACAAAGCCAATTACTCACTTGCATAAACCAAGAAGAGTATATCATACCTTAAGTATTGATTTATATTTGTTCTATTTTTTCTAAATGTGTTTGTAGAAGTATAGGTATTGTGTAAAGTCTCTTATCTTTTGGCTATATGCTTATATCATTGGTTTCAAAAATGGAGATGAACAATGATTCATAGAGGGTTTTACAAAGTCAATTCGACTCACTTCTCAAATTTTGTTCTCATGTGAGTGGGTCTACCTTAATTTTTTATTGAACTTTTTCACATAGTTGCAAATATTTTGGGATTGATTTTGATATTCAAATGGTAAAAATGCAGTGGAGATGGTGGAGCTTCCAATGTGAATTTAATGGTGTGTTGTGTTGGTGCAGGTGCGAGTAGAGGCGGCAGAGGAAGACCGGAAGAGGAACCAATGATGCACTTGCTCAGTCACAACCTCATGAATACAAAATCACGCTAAAAAACAGGTATGAATATTGTGTATAGAATTTATTTGGAAGATTGTCTATATAATCAAAATAATATTGTTTCAGTTATTGTGTTGATTTACAAATCCAATTACTCACTTCTTCAGCAAGGTCTCTCACACAAGAATATTCCCTCTGTTGGGACATTGCTTGGAGATCTCTCGAATTCGTTGTTCAAGAAAAATCATTTGATTGGCTAACACGGCTGAGACTTGCAATTTGAGCTGCTGAGGCTCTATCATATCTGCATCATGAATCTACCCCTCCCCGTGTGCGCAGGTCTCTTTTGAAACTTCTGTGTGCCATCTTTTCTTGGTCTCCATCAAAGCTTCTTTTTTCTGCACATACTTAATGTTAAAGTACTTGGTATTCAGATTTCTGCTGCACTAATATATATGTAGTATGTTTTTGTTTCACTCTTGTTTGTGTGGCATGGATAGTTTATCTTTCTTTGATACTAAATGACTATGGGTCTGTCTAGAACCCAGAAAATGCTCGGGAAAGAAAATAAAGGAGAAATTAAGGAGGAAAGGCCATTCAATAATTGTATTTAATGTTGTATTTTCCATGATCCTCACAAACCATAAAGGTATAGAACCTTAGCTTTTAGAGACAAAACCTTGGACATGGAAAGTATTTTGTTGAGATAGATTATATAAGATGGGAGTTGATTTCGATGTCTTCATATGTGACCTCATTGATTCACATAGGATGTTGCTTTAGTATCATGCTTAATCGGCTCTTAGGAAGTTCTTTAGTCTTTTTGAGAAGGGCTGTAAGGTTATCAGCTGTAATGTGGCCCGTTCAAGATATTGTTGACAATCTTACTTGAGCCAAGATGCAATAAACACCACTCGCTCCTAAGCCACCCTTATTGAAAACTTTAAAAAAATTAGTATAAAATTAAACGTAGATGTTACTAATGCTAGATGTGTTTAATGTCCTTACTTTGTCTGTACTCCTGTGTTGGACACTTAAATGACTCTGTGTTTTTTTCTTGATCTTTATCCAAGGAGGCACTTGCTCAGCCACAAACTCATAAATACAAAATCAAGCTAAAAAGACAGGTATAAATATTTGTATAGAATTTATATTTGTATATAATCAAGATAATATTGTTTCAGTTATCGATTGATATACAAATCCAATTACTCACTTGCATAAACCAAGAACAGATTTCATACCTTAAGTATTGATTTATATTTAATTTGTTCTATTTTTGGCTAAATGGGTTTGTAGAAGTATAGGTATTGGGTAAAGTTTCTTATTTTTCAGATATATGCTTATATCATTGGTTTCAAAAGTTGGAGACGAACAACGATTCATAGAGGGTTTTACAAAGTCAATTCGACTCACTTCTCAAATTTGGTTCTAATGTGAGTAGGTCTACCTTAATTTGAACTTTTTCACATAGTTGTAAATAATTTGGGATTGGTTTTGAAATTCAAATGGTAAACATGAAGTGGAGATGGTGGAGCTTCCAATGGGAATCTAATGGTGTGTTGTGTCGGTGCAGCTGCGAGCAGAGGCGGCAGAGGATGACCGGAAGAGGAACCAAGGAGGCACTTGCTCAGCCACAAGTCCACAACCTCATAAATACAAAATCAAGCTAAAAAGACAGGTATAAATATATTGTATAGGATTTATTTGGATGATTGTCTATATAATCAAGATATTTTTATTTTTGCTATGTAATTTTTGGTACTCATTAGTATGAATTATTTGAAAAAGTCATTAAGGAGGGTAAAATATTGAGAAAGCTTTAGAAGCTACCTACTCAAATGAAGGGATCTATGTAATTGTATTATTCAATAAACGATTCACACTTTTTCTAATGAACGATGTAGTAATTATTAGTATAGGTCATGATAAGGCATTGTCCAACGAAAAAGCTCAAGGACATATGCTAATGCAGTTAGACAAAGAATGATTATGAAAGCATGCACTCATTAAAATGAAGCAAACAAAAGAACAAGACTCCAAAACAACCTTCACTGCAGTTAGAAGAATTATTTCATTTTTCATCCGGTCAACAAGAACAGGAAGGCAAGTAGGTAATTCAGTTCGCAAGTGAGCACCAAATGTTGAAACAACAAGCCCCATGCAAGTAATGGCACACTCTTGGAAAATGAAAACACTGTAAGTCTACAGGTGAATAGGATTATTCCAGGTTTGAAAGTTCAACTTGCCTGATCCTGATCTTAGTTAAAGAGTGCCATGATGGCATTGTATATCGGATGAACTTAGGGTCTGAAGTCAAAACAGTGAGACTGTACCCCTCACGAAAAAAACAAAAAACTTTTAGCATGTGAATGTTTTGAAATAAAATTTTATATCAGATGGTTGAGTAGAAACAAAGGGATCTAATGGTGTGTTGTGTCAATGCAGCTACGAGCAGAGGCGGCAGAGGATGACCGGAAGAGGAACCAAGAAGGCACTTGCTCATCCGCAACCTCATAAATACAAAATTAAGCTAAAAAGACAGGCATAAATATTTTGTATAGAATTTATTTGGATGATTGTCTATATAATCAAGATAATAGTGTTTCTGCTATGTAATTTTTGGTGCTCATTAGTATGCATTATTTAAAAAATCATTGAGGGTGAAATATTTAGAAAGCTTGAGAAGCTACTTACTCAAAGGAAGGGAGCTATGTAATGGTATTATTCAATAAATTTATTTCTATTTTTCTTAGCCCCCTTCACCCCATTTTGAGGATGCTAACATGGATACCTTTCTTGGTAAAAGACATGATTGTTCATAAAGCTCCATTTTTTAATTTATGCTATTATGTCTTGAAATTGCAGATCCATACTTGGAAAGAAGAGGAGCAACGAAGGAGAAGATAGGGGTGGTGAAGAGAAGAAGATAGGAACAAAAAAGAGGAGCCTCATTTCTACTATCTATAGTAGCATCTATATTTGGCTTACAAAAAAGCGAAAAAACACTTTGTTCTATTTTATGAAATACCGGTTAGAGGTCTAAATTGTGTATAGTAAAAGCTAAAGTTTTTATTTTTTTTTTGGATTTTACTTAGATTCTATTTTATGGAGGTCTAAATTTATATCGATTCTATTTCATGAAGCTAAACACTTTGTTTCTGAATGACTTTTTATTACTAAAAAATGGAAAATTTCTCATAATCTATGCTGCATATTCTTTTATTGTGTCCATTGTTGATTAAATTTAGAATTTAATAAAGAATATATTTACATATATAGCCATATATTTTGTCTATTGAAGGATATCATATATTGGTTATGCTAAAAATAATATACTATTTAAGTATTATTCATTTTTTAAATTTAAAAATAATCTATAAACTTTTTATATTCATCTAATTTATAGTTTTAAACTTTTAATACACAATTCCTTTGCCACTGCCAGTTGCTACATGGCCTACAACCCTACACCAATATATCGCTACAGCAGGCTAGCGGCATCTGATTTGTCCAATTCATCGCTACATCAGTTCTTCCTCAATTGATATGTCGGCAAGAGTTGCTGCCGGCGAGAGTTCAAATTTTAAGCCCAATTCATCGTAACTCCCCTGTGAGTTCTGCCTGCATTTAAAATTCCTGCCGGCAAGAGTTGCTTCCTCAATTGATTCCTCAGTTTGCATATCCAAAACATCTATAAGTTCAAATTTGCCTTGGACAGTAGCTAATTGCTTGGGTTACACAACTAGTTTTTGGATGTCTTTGGGAGTTAATGACTTTTATTTATGACATTTTGTGACTTTTGGATTGAGTATCCCCTTTTATATTTGGGATTAAGACAAAGTAGGACGACCCGAATCCGTCCCGGTTTGTTCCAATTCCGAATTTTATGGGACAAATTAAATCAGGATATGATTGTAATCCTAATCGTTCAGGACTGTTTATATATAACGGAACAAGACGCGAAACAACCTAAATCCAGACCATCCCAATCTGTGTCCACCCCTAATTGGTCCTGACTTTTTTCAATCAAAATAAATAACTTTTGATAGACTCATAGTCAATCATTCAACAAGAACTAAATTGCATGTTAATATTAAAATAATTCCATTTCATTAATTTATCTTACAACGTAACAATGATTTATTTCCATTATACAAACATGCAATGTAATTTCAATAGAATTGATAATGAAAACTAGATTCAATTTAATTTTAAAAATGTGAAATGAGAGTATCTATATGAGGGAATTCAATTGCTTTTGGCAATTATGATGACAAGGCATTGCAATTCCTCCTAATCACACCCTTCTCCCCCGTCAGAACCTCCCAAGAAGACAGCTTGACAAAGGCGGAGGAGAACGCCCGGAAAAACGCGTCCTGATCCGCCGCAAACCGCCGCACGTGCCCGGCGGTGCGGGGGTCGAGCGGCATCTCGGCGTCGATGTTTATCACTCCCGTCGCGCCGCCGTTAAAATAGTAACGGTTGTCGAACGTCATGGACGTCCAGTCGTTTGGGACAAAGGAGACGTTGGACGTTAACGATCCTAACGGACAGTTTAACGTCAGCAACGCCCGTAAATCTAACGGAATTTCGTTTCCTTGTTGAGCCTCTGGGTCGAACAGACGTCTTCGGACGTTAATGCAGTGTGTTGCTCCGATTGTATGGGCTCCTGCATCACACTAATATTTTACTCGATATTGTTCGAATTAAATAGGGTGTGATAAGAAAAAAAAGGTAAAGGAATTTTTGAGACGGAAGGAGTATATTAATGTTTCCTACCGATGTTTCCATCTCATCTCCTTTTTCAGGTCATCGATTTGACAGAAATAATGTCAAATCGACGATCAAGGCGGAAGGTGCCGATTTGGGACCAGAGATTAGGGGATGAACAATCTATTTTACGAATAGAGTGTAATAAGAGTCCAATGTCATAATATTACATTTGGCAAAATTATTAAAAAAAAATTATTGATCTATTCAATAATGGTCATAGTATGTAAAATTTGACCACCAAATTTAAACGGCAAATGTTTTTTGGAAGGGGTGATTATTACCCCTCTATTCATATATATTTAACTATCCGATTTGTTTTTCGAATTTAAAGTGTGACGAACAATATCTCTTAAAATATATAAACAAAAAATGTTAAAATATTAGATTTAACGTATTTTTTAATACCAAGAATTTGTATAATTTTCATATTTTAATTCATTGTATATGTTTCGATACCAAGTTTCATTGTACTTTTGTATAATTTCGATACCAAAAAAATATTAAAAATATTTTTATTATATATAACTAGTCAAATATTTGACACATAAAACAAACTAAATAGGGGCGGAGGGAATGTTAACTAGGTCCACCTACCCTAAAACTTTAAATCTCTTATCCATACCAAGTTGCATGCTCTAGTCCTTACTATCAATCTGTGATTAAAGTTTAATTTATCTTTTTTCATTCATGGCTCATCCTTAAATTTCTCGTCCGTTAAGACTTCATAGAGTTCAGAGTTCAGAGCATATGTGGGCAAGACCACAATGTTCGCCATACTTGTACACGTGCATGCACACTTGTAAATCATTATACTATTTCTTTCCAAAAATATTACTCCCTACCACAACTTCATTTTTTTAGTTAAAATATAAAGATATCACTTTAAATAAGACTAAAAATAGAAAAAAAGTATCAAAGTATGAGTTATATGTTTGTTTGTATTCTCTAAATCTGATTTTGTAATGTGACAATGTACATGTGCATTTTACGTAATGTATATAGTAATGATTGGTAATTTAATACGAAACTTCTATTTTAGAATATTTTCAATGTTTTATTCATACTTTACCTTTTTTTCTCCAAATTGCTCCAAATTGTACAACACTTTGATCACAAATTATAGAAAAAATATATATAGTTATATATATATATATATATAACTATAAAAATGCAATGATGTTATATATATATATATATATATATATATATATATATATATATATATATATATATATATAACATCATTGCATTTTTATTATTGATCATGAAATCGATAAAATAACATAGAGGATAGATTATTATGAACTTGTTTTGTACTCCGTATAACTTTTGATTTAATTATATATATATATATATATAGAGAGAGAGAGAGAGAGAGAGAAGTTTCTATGCTAATTTTTAAAAAAAGAATTAAAAGGGTTATTTACTTCGTAAATTCTCTCTAACTTTCATTTGGGGAGGAGGAAAATATTATACGTACTCATTTTAAATTCCATTTTGCTTTTCAACAATAATGTTAAATTCTCCAATACTCTTGTTTACCCCTCACATTTACTATTCAATACTTTTTTCAAACTTTTTCTTACTCCCCATGTGACAATATATTTAAAACACGGTTCCGTTGACACTCCCCCGTTGAAAAGTGTCAACAGTACCACTAGCGACTAGCGGTGTCACTGTGTTCTTGGAGCACCTCTGATGCACCGTTCAGAAATTTGATGGGTCCTACCCACATTATCCCACCCCCTAAATTTCCCACCTTAGCCCCATCGCAGCCTCGCTCTAAGCCTACATCCTTATGCGTGGTTATTATGCAATACACCACTAGTGGCACCGTTGGAACCATCAAATTTCTGAACGGAACATCAGAGATACTCTAAAAATGCAGTGACACCGCTAGTGGAACTGCTGGTCATTGTCAACCGAACCCAATACTTAAATTTAACATTTTAAAAATTAATTTTACAAATTCTTTTTCAAGCATGGCTTTCATTTATTCCACATAAGTCAAAGACAAAATTAATTTGGTAGTAAGTAATCCAGTACTACGAGCAAATAGAATAATAGAGTACTCCCTCGAGAAATGATATTTCCAATTGATTTTAATTTTTTTGGTTAATATTTATAAGAAATATTTGTACTAAATAGCATTAAAACTTAAGTCATTTACATAAATAGCATTTAAATTATTTATTCCCTAAATAGTACTTAATAATGTCCATAATGACCAGTGATGACAAACATTTACTTGAATAATGACTAATGCATAATGACTAAAAGTGCTACATTGGGGAAAAAAGTACATGCAGTGCTATTTAGGGAAAGTCATTATGTTTTAGTGTTATTTACGTAAATTCCTCTATTTATAAATTTTGATTTCCATATGTAAAAAATATACTGTCTTTTAGTATAAATATAATATCAATAGTTTATTTTGAAACATAATTATGAAATATTAAATTTTTATTAAATATATTAATGCATAAATATAGATATTAATAATCAAAGTGTCCATACCGATGATGGCGACCGACTCTTCTACGGTGAACCCTTTTTCGGCAAAGAGGCCGAGCACCTGGTCGACTCCGGTGCTCGCCGGAGGGAGCAAAGAGTCGGCCATCTCAAAGCTCGGAGGCTCCGAGGAATCCCGGCGGCCCAACGGAACCTCGATAACCGGACCACCGTACAGAGCCACAGAGTCTCTGGCGGCGAGCACGAGGATGTCGGCACAGGACACGACTTGCGGGGGACACGCCGCGTCCACCGCCGACTTGATGGCGTTGACCACTCCCCTCTTCTGGATGCCCAGATTCTTGCCGGAGAGAATCTCCGGCTGCCCGGAATCGTCGATGAGAATGGAGGCGTCGCAGCCCCGGACCTGGCAGTCGTGGAAGAGGAGCCGAAGCAGGGCGGCGCCGGTGGTGGGGTCGGAGAGAAAGAATGTCTCGGTGGCGGCCCTGACTATGTGTTCGAGCTGCGGGCAGGTGCGGTCGTAGAAACCGTACGAGAGGCCGCCGCCGCCGCCGGTATCGCCGGAAAAGACAAGTCCGGCTAGGAGAAGAAAGGTGAAGAAGAATGCATGGAAGGCACTTTTGGAGGGATGGGGCATTTTGAGGTAAGAGAGGCGAAAACGGGATGACGGTGCCATACTGCCTGACACTAGCTACGTGCTTTTATCAACGCATGCCACACATTAATTTTTTTCCCTTTAAAAAAAATTGTTTGACCCCAAATATTTTATATTTTATAAATGTAATTAATGTATATAGAAAATATCTTGCTAACTAATACTC